TGCTTTCCAATTTTGTGTCACAGGAACTTGTCTGGTATTGAGAAAACTAGCAATCTGTTAAGTTGCAAATATAATTTCTCCTGTGGGTGATTTATCTTCTGACCTTTTCAAGAACTTTTTGTTAAGTCATGTAAGAAATCGTGGCTTTCATGAAACCAAAGTATCTTTTATTATATGGATTCTGAATCTTACCAAAAAACTACTTTAAATGAGTTTTAACATTATTTCATAAACTTAAAATTTTATAGCCATTAAATCTTAGAACCAATTTTTACTTGGTGTAAAGAATAAAGTATGGGTTCAATTAATTTCTTCCCTCTACTTGGCTACAATAGTTCAACATCATTTACAGAGTAACTTGTGCTCCATTGATTGGAAAGGCTGCCTTCAGAATCTGGTTTGGGTACCATTTCATCACATGCTAGAGTACTTACAGAGGACTGTGTTTTTTTTATTCTTTGAAATGCTAATGCAGTAAGGTACATTGCTAGATTTCCTGAGGAAGAATACTCATTGCATTCCAGTTAACTGTGTCACAACATAGTATCTTAATATATCAAGGGAATGTATTGCTTTTAACTTTACAGGGAGGTTTCACCAGGTTTTTCCCTTTCCCTTTCTATCATTTAGAATAGTTCCTGTAACAAAATTATGTTATAAGCAAGTCTTTTTTTTTCCAGACAAGGGTCTCCCTATAGCCCCAGCTATGTAGATCTGGCTGGCCTTGATCTTTCAGAGATCCACCTGCCTCTACCGCCCAGGTGCTGGGATTAAAGACTCATGCCACCATGTCTGACCTAATTACTTGTTTTGAAGAGGTGATAGTAAACTTCTTCTGAGGCAGGGTCTCATGAGGTCCAAGCTGACCTCATACTTGTTATATAGTCAAAGTTGGCCTTAAACTCCTGCTCTTTCTTGCCTCCACTTCCCAAAGGGCTTCAATTATGGGTCTGTGACCCAGTCATCAGTAAATTACCTACTCAGCTTATTCTATGGCCATTTTTCTGCCTTGCTTAAGGTGCTTTTCACATGTTTATGTATAGTTTTTTATATATGTCAGCATGTTATATAATTTTAAATGAAAAAGTTCAGACATAATAATGAAAATGCTGTAATGAACACCTGTCCACCTGTCACCCACTTATATATGGTTGATTTTATTGATTCCAACCTTGTTCCTAAACTTGTTTCCAATCCTCCTCACATATGTATACTATTGTGATTCAGTTTTGTATCCAATTACATTTCAGTCATTTGCTCTAAATAAAATAAAACATGCATTGTTTCAGACTTTTAAACTTAGAATGTACTTACTCTCTGGAACTTGCTTTTTCCACATTAACATTTTTTTTTTTTTCTCCATATAGTTACTGTATGAAGCTCGCCTTAGAAGTGTCTAAAAGTTGTGTTATCCCCATGTAGCAAAGCACAGCACCTGTACTTTTATTCAGATTGGTTCAGGATCTTTGTCATTAAAAAGGTTTTTGTTTTTACTGTGTTTCATTAGCTTAAGTTGGCCTAGAACTTGCTGGGTAGCTACAGAGGACCTTGAACTCTTAGTCCTTGTGTCATTCCCAAAGTGCTGGGATTACAGACATGCACCACCAGTCACCTTTCTCTAGAATTTATGTCCTTTAAATCAATTTCATTTTTTTTCCTCCATAAAGTGAAGAATAAATGAGTGTACATGGACAGAATTTTCTTCTTGAGTTTTCCCTTGAGATACTCCCAGCATCCTGAATTGCTAATTATAACAAGAACATTTTGTGGTGCATTTCCAAAGACCTCAAGTCATCCCCAAGAGCTAAATGCTAAGAAGGCTGTGGCTGCTAGGTATTTCCTTTGGTGCTTGGGAATCACAAGTCAAGTCTCATTCACAGGTGGGAAGTCTGGGATAGCAGGGAACTTCGTTTAGTGTTCACACTTTGCTGTGGATTAGCAGGCTAACAGCACAACACAAGCAAGCAAGGAGGAAGGCAATGATTCTGTTGCTGTCACCAACTTTTAGGCGTATTCCTGCAGTAAGACAACTCTACTTGGGTTAAGAATGAGCATTTTACACGTTTTCTCAAGAACATCATTCTAAGACCTATCAATTGTTTCCTTACTAGTCTTCTATTAACCGAAGTGCTTTAATTGCACGTAGTCTCGCAAATTAGTGAATGAAGCTGCATGACTGGTGGATCTGCTGTGCTTTTCTAGACAGTGGAAAAACCCGATCTGGTCAAACTGCAAAAGAAATAAACTTGACATTAAACCAATTAGATCATTTTTGTCACATTATACCAATAACAAAGAATATTTTTGTCACATTATACCAATAACAAAGAATAAGTTTTCTTTTTGGTCTTCTTGAGACAGGGTTTCTCCGTAGCCCCAGATGGCCTGGAACTATGTAGACCAGGCTGGCCTCAAACTCGGAAATCTGCTTGCCTCTGCTCTGAGTGCTGGGATTAAAGGCATGTGCCACCACGCCCAGCACAATAAAAGCACTTTAAAGTCTTAACCTTGCTCTAGTTTACAGGAACACATTTTCTAACTTTCTCTGTGGATTTCATTTAGTAGCATGGGGCTTTTAAACTTTTATTTAATTCTAAACTGAATGTTTCTGATTTATGGCTGATACTAGAAGTCTTATAATCTGCATTCTGATACCTCACTGAGATACAAGGATTCCCTACCAGTTACATGCATACTCACAGCACCAGTGGGTCCAAGCTGAGTTTAAAATTAATCTTTTTGAGAAAACCTTCCCTGGCTTGGTATCTTTTAAAAGCTACTTTAGGTGAGGCTTGCATGTGTATAGGCCAGAGGTTGACACTGGTTGTCTTTCTCAACTATTTTCCACATTATTATTATTTTGTTGTCTGGTGTGCACATGGAGGTCTGAAGTCAGTGTTTAAATGTTTGTCTTCCTCTATCACTCTCCACTTATTTCAGAAGGGTCTCTCACTGAATCTGGAAGATAGTCTGGCTAGCCAGCTTGGCCAGAGCCAGTCTCTGCCTCCTAGGGGCTAGGTTAACTGGAAGATGCCACACCTGCCCAGATTTTTATGTAGGTTCTGGGGATCCAAGCTCATATACTCACATGTGCAGCAAGCATTTTATCCACTGGGCCATCTCCCTAGCCCCTCTACCTTATTTTTTGAGATAGGTCTCTCACTGAATGTGGAGCTCACTGGCTACATTGGCTAGCCAACAAGCCCTAGGGTTTCTCTGGTATCTGGGTCCCCAGAGCTGGAATTTAGATTACAGGCATGTGCACAGCTTTCTCTCTTTTTTTTTTTTGAGACAGGGTCTCCCTGTAGCCCCAGCTGGCTTAAAACTATGTAGAACCAGATGGCCTCAAACTCAGAGATCTGCCTGTCTCTGCCTCCACAGTGCTAGGCTAGTATTAAAGGCATGCACCACCACACCCAGCTTTTCTTTTTTAAAATGTGGTTGCTAGGAATCTGAACATTAAGTCCTTTAAGGATGTGCTGAAAACACTTTACTAGTGGAGCCAGTTCTTCAGTCTCAAACCCTTAAATCTTGTGTGTTATCTGTGGTCCATCTTTCTACATTGGTTCAGAGTATACCTAGATACTGAGCCCCTTAGCTGGCTGTAGACAAGCAGAACTACCGTTTCCTGCAGCGTGTCTCAGCTTCTCTGAAAATGCTGCAGAGTGGAAAAGGCAAGAAAACACTGCTATGGACCCATGACTTTAAGAAGGGCTCAACTTGGCTTACTCAACATTCACTTCCTTTTTTTCTCTCCACTTCCAACCCCCAGTGCTCAGGAGGCAGAGGCAGACCTCTGTGGAGTTCAAGGTCAGCCTGCCTGGTCTACATAGTGAGTTCCAGGCTGCTCGGACTACAAGGAGAACCTGTCTCAAAAAGGCCAAAAAAAAAAAAAAAAAAAAAAAAAAGGATTCTTACTAGGTACTCTTGGCCAGTCCTACAATGCTTTTGCATAATGCTTAGAACACAAAAAGTTCTGTTTCAAGCCCCAAAAGTCTAGGTACTTCATGACTAGAGAATATGTTGTGATTCTGCCTTTAAATAACACATCTTATTTTACACAGGAGAAACATCCTTACAGAAATACATATCCTTTCTTTATTTTTAAAAAATATTTTATTTTTATTTTATGTGTATGCATGTACTGCCTGCATGTAGGTAAGTGCACCCATGTCATGCAATGCCCACGGAGGACAGAAGAGGCTGTCGCTGTCGGATCTCCTCGAACTGAAGTTATGGACAGTTGTTAGCTGCAAGAACAGTCAGTGTTCTCAACCGCTGAGCCATCTCTCCAGCCCCAGAAATACATATCCTTTTAGAGACATTTTGTAACATGAACACATTATAAAGATGGTGTTAATTCTTGTCTCAATGTGTCATAATACTTAATGGTTGTCAAGAGCACAAAAGTGACCAACAGTATGAAAGATCTTTTAAAAGCAGCTATCATTAAACTTTCACAGTGGTTCTCTACCTCATGTTCCAGAACCAATCTCTCACAGATCTCGCTGACTTTCCCTCCTGACTACTCCAGCTACCAACCTATATGCAAGCCAGCCCTTCCTTTATCCTGGGTGCTGCAGAGGCTAGTTCATCCCATCTCCTTACTCGCACACTTCAGTTACTCAACATTTACTACAGTAGCCATTATGGGTCCTTTTAAAACTATATCCCCGAACTTAAGAGACTTGGAGTTTCCATTCTTCTTTTATGCCAACAAAATAATACTCAGAGACTCTAAAATTGGGCTAGCATTACTTTGGCATGTGTTGTAGATCTTTTTGTTTTTGGATGAATCTCATCTTTTGCTTGCTATATTTCCAAAACTATGTTCTAGATATTAGAACAGAGCCAAAATAACTGACCATCATTGGACATAAACCCACAATAGCCCAACTCATACAACTAAGCAAACTAATTATGGTTAATTAATGTGTCTAGTATTTAGTTCATAATCATCAAAATTTGAATACATCTTTCAAAAAATGGCACAGAGAGAATTAAATATCCAGTTCATTTTCTTTAGGAATCCTGATATGCCAAAACTTATAAACTGAAGAGAAAGTAATTTAGTCAAAATTATCATAATTTCATATATTCTCAATGCTTTAAAAGCCCAACAGTGATTTTAAAAAGAAATTAACATGCTTTCATTGAATTTTTAAAAATCTATACAATTCAAGCTAATGAAATATTTTATTATACATAGTAAAAGTGTTTTTTTAAAAAAACATTTCCAGGTCCAGATGTCTGCTGGAGTACATGAGGAATGGATTCCACTCAAGTATAAGCAGCAAAACTACTGAATGAAACCACAAATCCACCAACTCCTTATAGTAAATACTAACATTCACCCAGGCTTGAAATCCCTGTGGTGTCAGTAGATCTATTTTTAAAGTATTACAAACATGCTTATGATGCATAGGAAGATGACTGCAATTGCATACCATATGTACTCCCAATTTCTCTAATTTACAACCTGTTAGGAATGACAATATCCAAAAAAAGTATTTTAAAATAGTATATGATTCACTGGTGACTTGCCTACTCAAATAAATAGCAAAATTCGCATTTTAATGTCACACTGAAATTCAGTACTTTTCAATCCAAGGTGGTGGAAAAAAAAGTCAACTGAGACACGGTCATGAGTTCAGGATTATATATATTACAATTTGCCTTAGTATAATACATTTGTGGCTTTGTGATAAAAATAACTCAGGGACATATGGAATTCAAGCTAATTTGCATAACTGTCACAAGGAAAAAAAAGCATTAAATGCATTTCTGAAATAATTATTCTTATTTAATTTCAGAATCTTAAAACAGCAACAGAACTTGGCCTTGTTTAAAAAAAGTTTAGTTAAACACTAAGCTAGCTAAATAACCTTACTGAAAAGGTTTCAACATAATTGGTATAGAAAATGCTTTCCCTCTAATCTCAATCTTACCTAAGTGGGTGAGGTGAAGGGAAAAGGTAGACAATTTCTTTAGCAGCATATATGGCTAAGTCCATCAACCACCTTAACTAGAGTGTCCATTATTGACCCCACTAAAAAGAACTGGGCTAATATCAAAAGTTACCCATTTCATAAGTCAAAGGCAACAATTTCAGGGTTACAGTAAGTAAAATAGTTTTGAAATACTTCAAGAACTTTTAAGCATAACCTAGAAGAATCACCTCTTCATTGTAAGATAGGAGTAACAGAAAGTAAAAGTTATTTAAACTCAACTCATTTTCAATCCTCTTTGAACAAAAGAAATGAAAAATAATGGTTGATTAGCTAAGCTTTGTGCTCTAACTAAACTAGTTAATTACAGTGATTTTAAATGGCAATAGCCCATCTGACTGGGCAACTTGACAGTTCAGAATACTTTTGCAATAATTTTTTTAAATGCAAAGACACTACAACGATCTGGTCATGCACTGCTCATCTATGCATTCTGCATCTCTTTCCCAATCTTGTAGCTAAGGATCTTGTTCCAGTCAATCTTAGTGCGGGTTACTGGCAACTGTCGACGTAAGGCCTTGAAGGTAGTGTCCGACATTGTCTGATAATTCTCACTGATGGCAGTCTACAAAGAACAGTAGTTAGAAATTTAAAGCAAATCAGAGAAACAAAGCTATTTATAATATATGTAGATGTTTTCAGAAAAAGTTTTAAGCAGCGTTTTTCACTGCTTACCAGTGAAATAAAAATCCCAACATGGATTAAAAAAAAAAGTTTCAAAGCAGCTATAAGAAAAAGTTCATAGTAATTGTAATGAAATTTAATGAAATGTAATTATAAATTTATATTTAATATTTGTGCCCCCATTTTTAATCTATTATTCCAGTCAAAAAACTTAAAATTACTGTTTGTGAGGGTTGGAAACTCAATTCATAAACTTTAAGAATATAGTATAGCTAGGCATGGCGGCCCACGCCTTTAATCCCAACATTTAGGAGACAGAGGCAAGTGGACCTCTATGAGTTCAGGGTCAGCCTGGTCTAAACAGGAGTTCCAGGCCAGCAAGCCTACATAGTGAAATCCTGTCTCAGAAGACCAAAAAAAAAAAAAACAGCTCATATGTGGGGGGGGGGTTTGTGTATATACCAAAGAATAATGTAAAAGCAATGCACAAAACAAACTGTGACCTAAGCAGGTCATATACATTCCAAAAGGTTTAGGAATTCATCTTAAGTTAAAATTCCAATCAGGAGCAAAAAGGATATTTAAAATCCTGACATACTTTGATGGGTACTCAGAATTATCATTGTGTAAAGCCAATTTAGTATTTTTAAAATATGAAATCTTGGGGCTGGAGAGATGGCTGGTTGTTCTTGCAGAAGATCCAGGTTCGAATCCCAGAACCCACATGGCAGTTAACAACTGTCCGAAACTCCAGTTCCAGGGGATCTGACAGCCTCTTCTGACCTCTGTGGGCACTGCACAACACGGGTGCACTTAGCTACATGCAGGCAATATATGCATACGCATAAAATAAATAAAATACTTTACA